AGTCACACAAGGATTGATATGCCTCACTAATTGATAATGGGGAATCTCCTTTGAACCTAAACTTCTGATTGCAAATTGGATGCAAATGTGCAGGCTCACCAGTGCAGTTGTGTGCAATTGGAAATGTGTGTGACTTCGTGCGTCTTTGCGCCACAGTTCTTCGGGGCGCCAACGGCTGCCCCCTGCACAGGTTGGGAAAAATATCCTAGGTGCGCCAACGGCTGCACCCCTGTCGTGAGCACCAGGTGATTTGCTACCTGCGGACCTCCTCAAGGAGCTCTGCGGCAGTAAGTGCACGGGCAGGCTGGATGGTCGCTCGGTCGGCTTGATCCAACCACTGCTCAATAGCAATCAACGCGTCCAGAGTCCCTTGCACCCCCTGGCTGGGGTACGCCCGGAAAGCGTGCGCGCCTGTAAGTCGCGCCTCACGACAGATTGTGGCGTTGTCGTCCACAAGGATGTGTGCTGCCCAACCGTGCAATAGGTTTGCTTTGCCAGCGACGCCAACCCTGGAGCGCGTGCACTGCGTTGTACCCACGTAGATGCCCTTGTAAGCCAAGTGTACCCTTGCTGTGGCGATCTCCGGTGCCGTAGTTCGTTCGCGCTCCACCCCACAATAGCTGCAAATAATCCAATTAAACGGACCGTGAGCTGTCTGTAGACGAATCAATCCCGTCCACGATCTGTGGGTGAAGCCTTCCCCCAGAGCGGATGTTCACGTCGAGCACCCCGTGCCAGTCCAGGACGATGTTGAGCGTCTTCCGGTCCGCAAGGGGTGTCCGAGGTGGGGAATCTGGGTTGTCGCCAAGGTGGGTCTGGAGCGCCAAAATCTGCTCCCTGCCCTTTTGGTGGCAACCTCAACGATGCCGGCGGCTGTTTGTACCTGATGTGTGGGCCAGGCCGGCTGTTTGCAGGGACAGAAGCCTTTCTGGCTGGCGGTGCCGCTAAGCGTGGGGGCGAAGAAGATCTTGCTTTGCTCAAAACACGTCCGCGACTGCTTGCCAAAAATGCTGCAACTGTTCCCCGCGCCGCTGGCCGCGTCCCGCACTTTACTGTGGCTTTCGTAGCAGGGGTCGGAGGTGAGGCCGGCACTGTAGGTCTATGAAACGGTGCCTCGTATACCCCACCCGCCCGGAATGCTGCTCTGCCTGAAAGCAAATCTTCTGTGTTGTACACTGTGTCCCCGTCGGTGTAGTCTGCCAGGTGGTAGACCTCCGCGTTCCCGTAGTTTGGGGCGGAGCCACACGTCCGTTGGCAGCTCGTGAGGATCACTGAACTGCGGTAGACGTGAGCGGGTTCGGCCTGCAAATGTCCGTGGAGCGCCGGAGGGCTGCTCCCTCTGCAGTGTCCACGCGCCGGTCCGGTCGATGCGGACCGTCGGATAGGCCCTTGGCGCCAGCACGATCGGCCTGTCGGTTGGAGGTCCTTGATGGCACACTCCTCGATCTGCCACGCGAGGATCGACTGGTCGTCGGGCGAGGAGTTCTGCGGGTTCTCGACTCGCCTGCCGCGCCGAGGGCTGCGGCCTCCTGGATCGGTGTCGGAGTTCTTGACCGAGAGCGAGACCTAAGCACGATGGGTACTTGGGAATAAACTGCTCGCAGAACTTGCCTTGACACTGACCGTGGGGAGGTCGTAGATGTCCTTCTCCTCGAAGCTGTACCAGTCACCGCGCCTTGGGCTGCGGTCCTCGCTGTAGGCAAAGCCGGAGCAGACAACCAAGCTTCAGCAGGTGAAGCCTGCTGGGCCACGGAAGGCTGCGCCGCCTGCTGCTGCTGAGGTGGTGTAGATGGAGTCGGAGACGAGGGAGTGGCAGGCACTGGATTGGCACCTGCCGCGCCAGTGGCTGCGGCCCTCCGTTCTTCTTCACGGATTGCCCGGATGCGAAGGGCCGTAGGCTGATGCCACCTGTGAAGCTCCTCTCAGCGCTGCTCGGTGACGTCCCGGTTCCAGGCCCGAAGGGCAGCAAGCTGCACCTCTGATCCCTGTTCCCACTGCAACTTGGGTGGTGTAAACCCAAAACGCTGCTGGACCTCGTCGATCACGTCCTCCTGGAGCTCCCACCACACTCGCTTCTTGTTTGCGGCTCCTCCGCGGGTACCACGTTTGTGGTACTCTTGCTCGACGGCCATGCGCGCCCCCTTATGGGGGAACCGCTGAGGGAGGGCCTAGTTAATCCCGAAAGAAAGGCTATACGGCTGATAACCAATCAAAAGAGCAAGAAACCCCAAACGCGCGCCGAAGGCTGCGCCCCGAACAAAAGGAGGTGGATTGACCGTGGTTAATCCCTCAGCGGTTCAGGGGGTTGTCTCTACACTCTAGTTCCGCACTCAGCGCCCTTTTTCAGTGAGCGCTTGAGCCAAACGGCGTTTGCCGTTTGACAAGTCTGTCATGTCATGCAACCCTCAGCCTAAACCAAAGTGGCCTCATGCAAACCTCACGCCAGTGAACACACAACTAGGCAAGTTACCATGCCTTTGGGGGCAAAGGGGTCGTTATTTTGCATTGCCCGAAAAGGCGAGGCATCGATGCGGTGGTGCTGAGGCCACTGTTGTGGTGCGAGTGCGTCAAAGTCCTCAATGGCATCGAAGCAGGCGGACATATCGCCTGCGCGAGACATACTGATGGGCGAAGGTGTTGTGACAGTTGATTGAACGGTCGAGCGCATCACTGTCACAATGCATGCGTTGAGCAAGCGGTACACTGTGCTTAGGAGCGCACTGTGATGCGCAAAGCTGCAGTTAGTAGATGTGGGCAAAGAGATTACTGCGTGATGCGGCCGAAAAAGCAAGACGAGTAATATCATGTCTGCATCTTTTTTCGTGAGGTGCACGCGATCGGTCACTGCCACAAAATGCTGGCGAATGTGCTATGCGAGGGCAGAGTGCGATGCCAGTATGTGCACTCGATGAAAACAATGATGCACATGCATAACGCAATGGTTTTGATCCACATGCGTATGCTGACTAAAGCTAAATGTAGGTCTTCAAGTAGGTATTCCAATTCCAAATAACTACTCGCGACTGTGCAACGCAGCGCGTCCGGGATGTTCGCTTGCTCCATGATGCAATGCGAGGCGTAATGCGTCAAAAAGGAGTTTTTCCGCGCCGAGAATGAACAGGCTTGTGTGCCGACAAGTAATACATTTTGTTTGTTAATGTTTTTTCTGCGCTCGGATAGCGAGCACGCTTATGCGCCAACAATGACCACTCTTGCGCGCCGACAATGAGTGCGCTTCTGCGCCAACAAGGAACACTCTTGCGCGCCGAGAGTGAAAACGCTTCTGCGCCAACAATGTACACTTTTGTGCGCTGACAGGGGAAAACACTCCCTAATTAACAGTGAACACTGTTGACACACTTCTGCGCGCCAACTGCGAGCAGGCGCATGCGCACACTGGCGAGCATGCGGCCCGTCGATCTGGTAGCACTGGGACACAAATGAAGGCACATACTGGGAGAGAAGTGAATGCGCACACTGACGAGCGCAAAAGTGTTCACGGCTGGCGCAAAAGGTGGGAGCACAAAAGTGTTCACTGTCAGCGCACAAGAGTGTCCATTGTTGGCAGCGTGCTCACTCCCATGCGCGCATAAGCGTGTTCGCTGTCGGCTCACAAAAGTGTTCACGGCTGGCGCACAAGCGTGCACACTGTGGGCGCACAAGGGTTTTCCCTCTTGGCGCACAAGCCTGGTCACTGTCGGCGCACAAGAGTGCTCACTGGTGGCGCATAAGCGTGTTCACCATTACTCTTGGCGTTAAGAAATTGTTTTTGTTGGCGCAGAAGCGTGTTCACAGCTGGCGCACAGAAGTGTGTATTGTTGGCACATTGTTGGCACAGAGTGCTCCTTGTTGGCGCACAAGCGTGTCCACTGTCGACGCACAAAAGTGTTTCTCTTGGCGCACAAGCGTGTTCACTCCTTGTTGGCGCTGAGGCGTGTCGGCTCTTTGTTCATAAAAGGTTTTTTGTTTTTTCTCGCGCCTTTTTTCGCAGCAGCTCTGTCCATTTTTAGGGGGGGGCCCTGGGCACAAGGGCTGCGCAGGCTGTTTTTTCGGAGGCCAGCTTCCTCACCTGCAAGCGCTGTATTGTTGGCGCACAAAGGTGTTCCTTGTTGGCGCACAGGCGTGCTCACGGTCGGCGCGCAAGAGTCGTGCCTTTTTTTTCTTATCCCCTTCTTGGCGCATAAGTGTGTCCACTGTCGGCGCACAAAAGTGTCCTTTGTTGGCGCACAAGCGTGTTCACCAAGCGTGTGCATTGTAGGCGCGCAAAAGTGTGCGACCGTGACTCGAGTGCCCGCCTCGCGGCAGACCCGAGCAGCCGCTCGCTCAAGGGGGCAGCCGCGGCTCCGCAACAACCCAACCCGGGCGCACGCTGCGCCAAGTGGGGGGACGCCAGGCGGGAGAGGACAAGCTGGCGACGGCCGCAGCAGCCTGCATACCTCGAGCAATGCAGGGAGCTGGCGCCGGAAAACGGGCATGCCACCAGCCCAAGAAGCCCAGTAAGCGGCTGGGGCTGAAGCAGCAGCAGAACGCAGGCCTAGACCCCCCAGGCGCAAGGGAAGTCTCCCCCAACAGACGGGCAGGACTCGCCGTTCAACAGCACCGGCATGACCGCTGAGCGCATCCTGCGTGGCCACAACTGGGGTTTCGGGACGTTCTTCAGGCGAGGAAAGTATCAACTCCCCAACGGCAGAGGCTGGGCCCGACATGGCTGCCGGGCAAGCTGGCTAGGCAAGGCTGCTGACCGCTTGTTTCAACTGGGACGGTCCCAGCGGCCGCTTCTTTACCCTGGGACGGCCACCCAGGTGCCGCTTTGTATACTGGAGCCGGCCACCAGCAGTGCGGACGGCTTGTTTCCACTCGGACGGTCCCCAGTTTTTTTTCTTCTTTTCTTTTCGCTGGCCCGGCCCGAGGAGGGGTCTTCCGTAGCCATTTTGGCTCAAGCCATTTTGGCTCAAGCTCAAGACCGTCGGGTGTTTTGGTCGGGCCGCGCGGTGCCCCCCATGGAAGTTTTTCTTCGCTTGGGCGCAGCTGGAGTGAGATGGGCTGTTCAGAAGGCCGCGGCTTCTGCGCCTTCGTGGGCCCAGCTCCCCCCCACTTGCCGCGAGGCCGTGGCGCACGCGCAATGCTTTGCGTTGCAGGCAGCCCGCCGCTGGACCTTCGTGGCCAAGGGCCGTTCTGTGCATGCTGGGCGTGGTTCTGCTTGGGCTGTTTCGCGGGAGTCGCTATCTCGGCGCTCCTCGCGGCGTCGGCTGCCCTTTGGCGCCCGGGCCTTTTGCAGCCCTGGTCTTCCCGGCTCCGCACGTATGCCGCTGTGCGTGGCGCGCGGCGGCGCCAGGGAGTTGGAAAGCTTGGCCATGGCAGCGGGGATGTCCGCGCCGGACCTGCTGAGCAGCCTTCTGCCACCCCCCGGCCCGAGCGAGGAGCATGATCTCGCGCCGGCTTGCGCCCCTCGTGCCCGCCAGGTGCGCCGCCACGCTCGCCGCCCCATCGCCGGGGCAGGGGCGCCAGGCCGCATCCGCGCAGCTGGGGCCGCTCGCATATCGCGCGCTCCCGGCGGCCTTTGTGCGCCCGCAGATGTGCGGAGAAACCCAGCCCTCCAGAGGGCGCGCGGCGCGCCAGTCGGGGCGCCCGCCACGGCCTGGACGAAACGTGCGGCTGCTGGTTCTGGGGGGCGGGGGGCTTGGAGGGACGAGCGCGCGGGCAGCGATCCTTGGAAGGGTTGCCGAGCCAACGAAGCCCGCAACCCGGGGCGGCTGGAATCGGACAAGGGGCCTGCAGCGAGCCGCCAGGCCCATGCATCTCTGCCCTCGCAGGGGCGTCCTGTGGGTGGCGCACGCCCAGTCTCTGGAGCGATGCAGGGGACAGCGACTGCGTCCTCCTCTCCGCAGCCCCGGGGCTGGCGCCCCCAGATCATGTTGGTGAGCTGCCGCCGTGCCGACGACGCCAGCAGGACCGGTACCCGCGACGCACGCACCATGGGCCTCCCGTGGGCCGCCGTCAGGCGCCATCCCTGCGCGGAGTTCTTGGCTGTGCGTGCCTTTGCTCCGTGCCGCGGCGGGCACGCTGCAGGCGGACGCTGCTGCCCGTTGGGCCGCCCACGCAATTGCGGGCCACCGCTGGCGGGCTTTGGTCGCTGCCCTACGGGCGCACGAGCCTGTGCCGGCGGGCGCTTTACACGCCATGTTCTTCACCGCTGCGACGGGCAGCGACGACGCTGCCTTGGACGGGCAAGATGTCGCGTCCGCTGCCGCGTTGAGACGCCTCCCGTTGGTGCACACGCTTTCGCTCAGCGAGGCAGTCGCGGCGTGCTCCGCGTGTGATGGCTACCTCCCGGCCACAGCGCGGCTGTGTTGCTTGAGGCCTATGGCGGCCTACCTGTTGCCGCTGAGGCTTTGTCCCTCGCAGATGCCATCCGCGCCGCAGAGCCGCCCAGGCCTGTGAGAGCGAGCAGGCGTCGCGGGCGTCGTGGCCGTGGCCGTGCTGGCCGCCACCCGTCAGCAGACAGTGGAGCCCATGCAGCCAACTTTCCCAGAGGGCGTTGGCGCGGACTCTGCCCCAGAGGACGGGCCTGACGAGCAGCCAAGCGCGCGGGCTCGCGCCACCGCGCGCTCCCAGATACCACGCGCGTCTTGGGGGTGGAAATTGCTCCTTCTTGCCCCACGGTTGTTGCTGGCACGTGGGGCAGCCCAAGGCGAGGTCGGACGTGATGTGCTGACGAAACGAGTCGCAGATTTCTTGGCTGCCCGCTGGATGCCCCTGTTGGAAGGCGCGCGCGGGCTGGCAGTCGAGGCCGGCGCACGCCCAGTGCGGCGAGCCGGCGCCGAGGGGAGGTGCGAGCAGGCATGTGCACTGGTCCGCCGCGGAGAGCTCTCGGGCCAGGCAAGTACTCACCAGCGCCCAGCTTGCCCCAGGCAACGTGGGCCGACGCGGGGGCATGCCACAGGATCTCCCAAGGCGAGGGCTGCGAGCAAGGAGATGCCCTAGCTCCTGCTTTGTTCGCGCTGGCGGCGCATGATGCGCTGCAAGCTGCGCAAGCGGAGTTGTCCGAGGGTGACTGGCTGGCTGCCTTCCTTGACGACCTGTACATCAAGACGCGCGCGCCTCGTGCCCGGGCCGCTCTGGATAGCGTCGCAGGAGAGGTCGCGCGCCACGCGGGGGTCCAAACCAACGCTGCCAAGACCAGGGTGTACAGGGCCACGCCCGGCTCCCGCCGACCTAGCGGTGCTAGGGCCTGACGTGTGGCGCGCAGACAAGCCGCTGGCTGAGCGAGGCCTCCTCGTGCTAGCAAGCGCGCTGGGGTCGGCCGAGTTTGTTGCCGCTCATGGCGGCGAGCGCGCCCGGGCCGAAGAGGACTTGCTGCAGCCGCGTCCGCCTGCTGCCGGACTTGCAGTGCGCGTGGCTCCTGCTTTCTCAATACGCCCCTCGCTCGCACCACTCCGTTGCTGCCCCCTATGCCAGGGCGCACGACGAAGCAATCTGCACTACGGTCCGCGCTTTGTTAGGAAACCCGCGAGCCGAGGGCGCGGAGTGAAACCGCGCGCGCGCCTTGGCATCACTGCCAGTGCGTGAGGGAGGTCTGGGCCTGACTCCTGCCACGCGGCTCAGCCCTGCCGCGTGTTGGGCCGCATGGGCTAACGCCTCCCCGTCATCCAGGACCGCAGGCCCGAGTTTGCCGCGCAATGCGTCCGCGCCTTGGATAAGGCAGCGGGGGACTTCAGCCAGTGCTTAGCTGAGGCGGCGACCGCGCGAGACGTGCTAGTGCGAGTGGCTGGGCGGACTTGCTCGCGGGCGGCCAGCCGCCCGGGCTTTCTGAAGAACCCGAGCCAGGGGAAAGCTGCCAGGGTTGGCAGCGTCACGCAGCTCTCTACCTTCATTCCGTTTTCCGAGAGCGCGACGTTTTGCCACTCCTCCGCACCCCAGACCTTGCTCTGCTGCGCTCACAGTCCGGCCCGCAGGCGGGCGCCTGGCTCTCCGCCATGCCCGCCGACCCGGGCGCGGTCCTGACTCCGGAGGCCATGCAGCTTGCCCTTCGGTGACGGCTGCGGTTGCCGCTCCCGATGACGTACCGACCCACTATGCGGCGTGCACGCGCACAGGTCTTCTTGCAAGGCGGGCAGTTGTGCTGGAGCAGGCGTGGGTGCACGTTGCCCGCGAGGCGGTCGGCCCTGAGGGCCGTGTCGTGCCGCAGCAATGGCTAGCTCACACGACTGCCCCGGGAGCCGCAGATGGTGACCGGAGACGCTTGGACCTCGTCGTGTATGGGGCCACGGCGCGCGGAGGGGCACTTTGCTGCGACGCCACTCTGGTGTCCCCCCTGCGGGCGGATGGAGCCCCGGTACCGGGGGCTGCTGTCAGGGACGGCGTTGCCCTGCAACACGCTCGCCGCAGAAAAGAGCGGCGCTACCCCGAGCTGCAGGCGGCGGGGCCCCACCGCCTCGTCGTGTTGACATGCGAGGTTGGTGGCTGGTGGGGCTGCGAGGCGGTCGAGCTCGTGAGGCGGTTCGCCCGGCTCCGCGCCCAACGCGCGCCGCCTGCGCTGCGCGCCTCAGCGCTGGCCGGATGGAGGCGCCGCTGGTGGGGCATCCTGGCCGTCGCGCAACAGAAGGCGCTGACCTCCGGCCTGCTTGGCGGGCCACGCCTGTTATGCCGGCCGCTGAGACCAGGCCGCCGCTAGCGCACGTGCTGCCGCGCGATGGCCCGCTGGGCCCGAGTGGTGTTGCGTTGCGCGGCTAGGCGCCCGTAACCGCCCGCCCCCGGCGCTGCATGCAGCCACAGCCGCCCTCGTCGACGTGCGGAGACGAAAAAAAAATCATGACGCAAGCAGCATCATGATGATGCCGGCAGCATCATGATGATACAGGCAGCAGCATAGTCATGTTGACAACACCATAATAACAAATGATTACGGCATCATGATGATGCCGAAAACGTCCCTAGCACCCGGCCATCCATCTGACAAAACAGCACCTCCACCAGCAGCCCAAACTGCATGCCCCCTAGCACCCGGCCGTTACTCTCGCATGCCCCCTCGCAAACTACATGCCCCGTAGCACCCGGCCGTCGCGCTCGCAAAACAGCACCTCCACCAGCACCCAAAACTGCACGTCCCCAGCACCTGGCCCTCAGGGCCGCAAATTACATATAGCATACCACGGCCACCATGACGCAGCATCATAACGGTTCCCACGGCAGCTGATGTTGACAGCATCATGATGATGTTGACAGCATCATGCCGATCAGCCACGGGCGATTCCGCGCCACCTACCGGGCAAACAAACAGGCGACGACACCCTGATGAGTTCGACAGCATCATGATGATGCGAACAGCATCACGGTGATGCGACAGCATCATGGTGCTGGTGAAGCCAGCATCGTGAAATTCAGCAGCATCATCATGATGTTGACAACATCATGGTGCTACCACACCCGCGAACCATAACGCGGCATCGCAGTGATTCCAGCTGCACCATGACGTGGCTGACAACATCATGATGACACACCAGCTACGAACCACGACGCGCGACTGTTAGAGCAGCCACAAGGTCCGGGCGCTAGAACCTCGGGTGCTGATGCAGGCGCTGCTGTTTTGCGTAGTGTTTGGGGTGCTGTTTGCGGTGTGATGTTGTGGGCGCAATTTTGCAAGATTGCATGCAGTTTAGGGTGGTGGTGCAAGTGTTTTCAAACTTCACAAACAGCACCTGCGCAAGCACCCCAAACTGCGCGCCCCCTAGCAGCCTGCCGTCAATCTTGAGCACCTGCACCAGCAATCGCCGTCAGCCCAAACTGCGTGCCCCCTAGCGCCCGACCGTCAATCTCGCAAAAAATGCGCTTGCGCCGTCACCAGCACCTCAAACAGTCGCTTCCCGTGAACAAGAAAACTGTGAAATCACATGCACCCACTTGACGACGCATCTGGTTGAAACCGCTTCACAAAGGAAAAGAAGAAGCTGCGTTAGACAGCAAAAAGCAACTGTTTGCTAAATTTGAAGTTGAGATCTTGAATTTTCAAATCCGCTCATCAGAGTTTTGCAACTTCCCTTTCGGGCTTGGGCTTTGGTGCCGCATCAAACAAAGCAACATGAGAACGCCCAAAGCATAATGCCGATACCGGCAGCGCCACCGTGCAGACAGCATCAATAAAATGCAAGCAAAAAATCATGACGCAAGCAGCATCATGATGATGCCGGCAGCATCATGATGATGCTGGCAGCATGATGATGATACAGGCAGCAGCGTAGTCATTCTCATAATAACAAATAATTACGGCATCATGATGATGCCGAAAACACCCCTAGCACCCGGCCATCACTCTTCCAAAACAGCACCTCCACCAGCAGCCCAAACAGCACGCCCGGTAGCACCTGGCCGTCACTCTCGCATGCCCCCTCCCAAACTGCATGCCCCGTAGTACCCGGGCGTCGCGCTCTCAAAACAGCACCTCAAATCACATTGCCCTCTTTATTGTAAGTTAGAACCCCTATAGCTTTCAGCTATGTGGGGAATCACCCTGCCCTCGATATTACAAGTTAGAACCCCTATAGTCTTTTCTATCTAGCGAAATACACAAGCCGGCAAAGAAACAAACCAATTACGCCAGCATAGACCCCAAATAGCACACCACGGCTACGTACCAAGAATCAAAGGCAGAAAGGAGGAAGGAAGGAAGAAAGGAAGGAATGAAAGAAAGAAAGAATAAAACACCAACAGGGAAAACAGAAACAGCGAAAAGGAAGGAAAAAGAGAAAACCGAGTCAAGAAAACAAAGAGAAAAAGAACTATAGTTTAGCTGGATCCAAGGGGTTTTAAAATACAATTATGTTAATTCCTGCACGAGTACCCTCCGAGCACTCTGCGCGCGAGTGCGCGAGTAGAGTGCGCGAGTAGAGTGCGCGAGTGGTCTGCTGATTGCTTCCTATCTCGCCTGCCTGCTGACAACATCAATGATGCCTGACGACTGACAACTGAACTGAAAAGGGTATGCTCGCCATTTCCGCAGCGTGCCCATCATATAGTAGTCGAGGGCCTCGCCTAGCAATAAATTGCTTCATAAGTCCAGCCCCCACCCTAGGTTTTTTTTCATGTTTTCAATGCACAAACAACTTCACCCCCATCGGGCAGAACCTATTTTTCTACTAAATCAAAGCAGGCTCTACAATATGTTCTTTTCATCTCCCAAAAATCAAAAGAACATACCAACACAATTTTTCTACATCAGTTTTTTCATTTGTCTATGCATAAATGATTTTAGATGACTTTTATATAAGTCTTCTCTAATGTTTTTTTTACATATGGCACACTCAATCGTTTTTACAGGGTGTAATTCTTCCTCTCGTGCCTTAAGATTTCGTAAGTGCTTCAGCGTTTCTTCGTGTTTTGCTTTCCTCGCACTTTTTA